AAGCAAAGAAAAGTATTAACATAATTACTAAAAGAAGAAAGAGGTGGTTTTTTTAAGTCCTGAATTGAACTTCGAGAGCACGACTGACATTGGAGTGCTGGCAAGCTTTCGTTTCATGGACTATACGGTAACTACTTTAACTTCATGGACTACATAATTGCTGTTGCAACCATTCAGCTCTGATTTTATACCAAAGAACCACCAGAGTCAACATATAATTGTGTGGATATAACAATGCTGCAATAAAACCCCTTTCACAAAGGATATAGCAGCTACACTATTGACCTCTTCCTAGAGATAAAATATGTCCGAAATGAAAAATTCTACCTCCTGAGCCTATACATTAACTATTTAAGATAAAACTTACGAGAAAGAAGTTATGGATCAGTTAAGGTCCTTGTTTTCTGCTGCTATGACAGAGAACATTCCTTCCCCTTTGGGGCCTTTATGTGCCACAGTTTCTGTTACCTTTGGTTAAACACTGCCCCAAACTATTACATGGAAAACTTCAAAAGGAAACAATTCGTTAAGTTTTAAACTGTAAAACACTCAGGGTCACGTTATGAAATCTCTCTTGCCTCAGTCCTTTCTGCTCTGTTAGGCAATCATCCCTCTGTTGGTTTATCTTATCTGCATATGCTATCATTACATTAGTCACTTAGTGGCTGTCTCTGCTGCCAGATCAACTATCATAGAACTTATGCTCAGAAAAACTCTAACATAGACACCTAACACTAAGCCACATGCCTGATCATTTACCTCAACTCATCCTATCACCTAGGTGCTAAGTTATCTTATGTAAAGAGGGATGAGTAGTCTACAATGTTTTGAGAGAAAGAATGACTACATTCACAGAACTTTTATCAGAAGGTATTGTTAAATTTTCTATTCAGTTAGAAATTATTATGAATTCTTACTTTGCCTAAATCATAAGGTAAATTTCTTCATAGACACTGTGTTTAGATACTATGTCTAAGAAATACACAGTACGCAAGTGTTAGAACATGGTCCAAGAATGGAGTTGGTGAGAATTCTGAGCGCTTGTGAAAAAAAGCTCCAAGAAAACGAAAGTCTTGTGACCTTACTTTCTTCAAAATTAGGAATTGTTCTTGGAATATGTTTCCGTGCCCCTCCCAGGTGTGGCAGACAGGAGTGGGTTTACTTCGGATTATTCGTTACAACTGGATATTGTTATGTGTTTCTATGCCTCCATGGAAAACACATTTTTGTCATGTGAGTCTTGCCTGTTACATATGACTTGTCATTGTGATTGTATGTTTGACTCGTGTGACTCTTCTTAATCCTCAGAGCATAAAATTGTCTGATGCTCTAAATAAAGTTGGCTATTGCATTCGACTTTAGTCGGCCTCATTTATCAGCTCCATTCTCCCCAGGTCCCAGCTTCTGTAGAGCAATAAACGTATAAGGAATTAGGCTTAGGTACTATCTGTTGTTTGGGGGCTCTGGAGGGGATAAAGTGGACTGATGTGCCACAAATTACATAAATTACAACGTATCTGGCTCATAATGCTGCAAAGCTTGTTAGTCTAAAAGAATGAACCTGACATCAGGCAAGGGCCTTCATCCTATGCCATAACATGATGTTTCATAACCAAACAAGTATGCCTGAGACAGAAAGAGGAAACTGGGCAGAGATGTGTCCTTGTCATCCAGGGCCACTCTCAAAAGAGCTAACCTACTCCCACTCCCACAACAGGCATCAATCCATTTTCAAGGAGCGAGGTCTCATAACTAAATCACCTATTTAAAGTACTGCCCCTTAACACTGTCACTAGCAATAAAATTTCAACATGAGCTTTGGAGGGTGCACTCAACTTGTAGAACTTACCACTGGAAACAAATCAAGCAGTTTCTCATATACGTAACTACAGTCCCAAGGGTGGAAAAGAGGAATGGAACAAACATTTGAGGAAATAATAGTTGATGTTTTGTCAGTACTCACGAAGAAACCAATCCACAGATCGACACTGTTCAATAAGCCTCACACAAATGAGGAGATCCAGGCTCGGAGGTTTTAGGAACTTTTTCCACGGTTTTTTCAGTGCAAGTGATGATTCAATATCATGTTTGTTGATCCAATTATTCACAGTTTTGCCTACTTGGCATAATTCCTGCTAAGTTGATAGAATGAAGAATCATCCTCAAAACAGGTGTTAAAATGCTGCTTATTGAGAAACCAAGAACATATCTACCAGATACTGCTCAAGGCCGTGTGTCATTTACTATTCCAAACAGAGCATCTCAGTTAAGAGTTGTCTTCCCCATTTTAAAGATGGAGACACTGAAACTATAGATTCAACATAGACGCTTAAATAACAGCAATAGTGGGAAACAGACGTGGACTCGGGTCTTCTGGATGTATATGCCATGTTCTCCTTGGAGTTAAGTCCTATTTATGATATGTCCATAAAGGAAGAGTCACATGTGTTATGAAGCTAGAAACTTGGCAGTGTAGGAATATTCAAAATACAAACTCCCTGGAATGATGGGAAACAGAGTCTAATATTCCACTCTTAGAACAAGAAACAGCTGGCACCAAACGAATAACTGTCAATAAATCTCAAAAGTAGAGCAATCATTGCAAGTATGGTAATAAATACTTAGACTCATAAAAACCACAGAATTGTGAAATTACTTACAGATTGTAGTATCCAGTCCCATCTTTGTGGAGAAATGGAAGTGTACCTCAGAAGGTTAAATCATTTACCCAAAATAACATTGCTGGTTATTGACCTTTCTATTAAACCATCCCAAATTCTGTTCCAGAAAATATAAATTATTCATGTAGAAAGACAAACCCAATTTTGGCAGGTCAGAGATTTCAGTGAGATATGAATTGGTTAAGGACCGTGATTTATGAATCTAGGCAGCCATCCAGATTGCCTTATCTCGGCTGTCCTTCTGGGAAGCATACTATTGTGACTACCTAAATTGATCTCTGCTCTACCCCATTCAACAGTCAGTGGCTATCACATGAAGGGAAGGGTAAATTACTGAGACACAGTGCAAATACTGGAAGTCAAAAGATATTAAAGAGGAAATTTATATTGAGATCACCTCCCCTTGTTTGATAGAAACAAAATTATACCAGATAGTTCATAACGATACTCTGAAAGATTGAATACAAATCATGTCCCATTTTAAGCAAACCCTCAGCACCACATTTTTACACACACACAGCTGTATATACATATCCATATATTCTCATTCAAGATTTATTTATTTATTTATCTATCTATCTATCTATTTATTTATTTTGGTTTTTTGAGACAGGATTTCTCTGTGTAATTATGGTGCTTGTCCTGGATCTCACTCTGGAGACCAGGCTGGCCTCGAACTTACAGAGATCCGCCTGGGTGTGACTCCCAAGTGCTGGGATTAAAGGTGTGCGCCACCGCCACTCAGCTTTAAGATTTTTTTTATGTACTTGAGTGTTTTGTCTGTACGTGTATATGTGCACCACATGAATGCAATGCCCATAAAGACCATAAGAGGGTATCAGATACCCTGGAGCTTGAGTTGGGGTGCTAAGAATTGAAATGGGGTCCTCTGCAAGAGCAGCAAGTTGTCCTTAACCACTTAGCCATCTCTTCATGCCTGATCCACACAAGCTTTTATCCTTATACGTTCTTTGAATTCAAGGACTACCAGGTTCTCATACATTCCAGACACCTTGCACATCAGCTGATACTATAAGTGCTCCATGTTTATTGAGTGAATGAATGAAAAAATGCTGGATAAGCAACTTGTGTTACTTAATGTCACATTAGCAAACGTGCCCTCGGTAGATGCCAAAGCACTACTTAACCTGTGTTTTTAAGAACCTGCATGTAAAGAAACCCAGATGATGACCCAAGAAATTACCCTAGCAATTGTCGCATGTGTGAGGCCCCTCTCCCAAGAAGTGCTCTTATTTGGTGAGTCTACCATACCTTTGGAAGGTAAGAGTGAATATGTAACATTTATTGACCAAGACTTTCTTCTTGTAAGCAAGTAGCCCACAGAAGGATGCTATGATTCACTGTATATATTTAACTAAGCATTATTTATTATTGCACACAGATAGAATCCAAAATATGATTCCTTTCACATAAGTAATTGTAAGGTCTTTTACACTTCTCTTTCTAGGAAGGAATTAAAGTATACCTATATTCTGTTTCTGAAGAGATAAGAATACAAGCTAATTTTTTAAGAGATTATCAAGTTGTTCATTTTGGTTGTTCCTATTAAAACAGCACTCTTATTCAAGAATGTCACTGCCTTTGCCCATTGGTTACAATTATATATAATGCTATTACTTCTTCACTGTTGAAAAAAAACAATCTGGAGTTAGTCTTCAAGATATCACAAGAGAAAGAAAGATTAGTAAAGGAAATAGATATAATCCTTCATTGGCTGTGTGCTATAAATGGTCTATAGAAAATAGTACCATTTGGTTTAGGTAGAGAAGTTATTTACCTTTCTAGATCCATTAGGCCTCAGTACCCATAACAATATCTAGTGGATAATGTATCTACTAAGGAAGAAAGGAAAAGATAGACTGTTATGATTCATGCTAGACCCTAGTCTTATCTTGATTTTCGTCCCTCAGATGTATCCTTAGTACACCTAATTGCATCTTTTCCCACATCTGTTGCAAGTATTCAGCAAAGAGATACATATCACAACACACCAATAATATTCAGTGTTGGAATATTCATCATTCACCCACGTTTGTAACTTCTTAGACCTCTTAGAAATTAGCAATAGGTTATGGAAGGAAATCAGAAAATAACAGCAATGTTCCATGTACTTTAGGACATGCCAAATAACACTGCAGAGTACACAATGTTACGATTTATATCTAAGCAATTCTCAAGAGATTGCAGGGCCCCTGGGTGCTCAGAGCATCTGTCTGCTGGCCTGCTTTGCTGGCACTCCTGGCTGACTGGCTGACTTTGCTGATCTTGCAAGCCAAGGGATTATTAGATTGACCACATGCCCTCTGCTTTTGTTTCTTTGTTTTTTGTTTTGTTTTGAGATGGAGATAGGAAAGTTGACTAGGGCCCCAGAGATCTATGAGGAAAAAGAAAGGAAAAGGAGGAGGGGAGAGAAATTTGCAGCGATAGGTGGTTTCTGTTGTGCAAGTCAAGAGAGAATGTAAGAGTTTGATTCTAGTAGAAGCAAACTGAGAACATAGTTTAACAATAGCCCACAGGGATGCCAAGATAACATCTCCTGAAAGATGTCTCTAAACTACATCAAGAACTTCTACGAAGGATGTGTAAGTAGCAAACAAGAACATCGATTGCATAAATTTTTGTCTGTGTATTTTTTAACTTCGTTGGCATGTGTGTTGATAGGCACATTTATTGTACATTTACAAAGAAAAGTAACATATATAACAATCATGTGCTGTAAAATAGTCTGAATTTAAAATTATTGATAGATTAATTCTGGAGGTACTTTCATCCATTGATGCTTTAAAGTAGGTCACACTCTTAATTCAATGTTAAGTATGGGAAAAAATTTGCCAACACTAAATAAATACTGTTCTGTCCTTTTGATAGTACTTGTCCTAAGCTTAATGTTGTGTTTGTCATCTAATCTTCCAAAAGAGGCAAACAGACATTCTAAGATATTTATGGTTTTATTTCAAAGAGATTACATGAGAAAAAAATATTCATGGAATTCAAAGCTGTTCAAAGTATTTCAAAACTTACCCATTTGATTGGCAATAGATATCAGTTTGATGACTGCATTCTATAATTAAAGAGTAAAGTGACACAACACTCCTGCAGGGTTTACAGTGAATATGATATTTCTTCAAAACTTCTCAAATCTTAACATGTTTAAATCTTGTTTTAATGTGATCATAAAAATATCCTTCAAAGTGTCCTTTTTAAATGTTCCTTTCCAACCCAATTCCCCCCTCCCCTCCAAAAACCAACAGGTGAAACCTCCAACCGTGATCGGCCAGTTCCACACCCTCTTCTTCGGTTCTGTGAGGATGTTCTTTCTTGGAGTGCTGGGCTTTGCGGTTTATGGGAACGAGGCTTTGCATTTCAGCTGTGACCCAGACAAAAGAGAGATAAATCTGTTCTGTTACAATCAGTTCAGGCCAATAACTCCCCAAGTAAGTTTCCGGTGTGTATGCAAACACTGACTCCCCAACACGAGTAGTTTTTTTTTTTTTCTCTCCTATAATTTTGAGAACTGTATTTCTCTTTAATTGGCTGAATATTGCAGAAAATATAACTTGAGTTCCTCAAAAATTTCTTTCAAATCCAGTATTCTATTATCTATTGGTATATTTAGCATAGAGACATTAAGCAGCTATTAAAATCAAGTAAATTCATCATTATCATTAGCGGATAGGCAGTGATAGTAAATTATGATTATGTTTTCCAACTGCCATATGTTTAAAGTTCTAAAATCTTAGAAAATAAATGACATACGTCAGCACGTCTACATTTGTTCATCATATTTTCATATTTTTAAGGCATTTGTGAAACTTAGAATTCTTAAGTTGCCCTTGCTGAATCCATGAACTTTTCATGTGTTTTTTTGGTGACATGTTGTTTACTTGACTTGACTAAAATAGTTCTGATATACTCTAGGTGTTCTGGGCATTACAACTCGTGGTTGTCCTGCTTCCTGGAGCGATTTTCCACCTTTATGCTGCATGTAAAAGCATCAACCAAGAATGCATCCTTCAAAAGCCCATGTACACTGTGATTTACATCCTCTCTGTCTTGTTAAGAATCAGCTTGGAGGTGGCAGCATTTTGGCTTCAGATTCATCTCTTTGGCTTCCAGGTGAAACCTCTATACTTGTGTGATGCCGAATCCCTTGGTAAAAAAATGAATGTTCTAAAGTGCATGGTTCCAGAACATTTTGAAAAGACTATTTTTCTCATTGCAATGTACACCTTTACTGTAATCACCATGGTATTATGTGTTGCTGAGATTTTTGAGATAATATTTAGAAGGTCATGTTTCCTCTTTAAACAATGACAGGGTTGATTACCTATTGTCATGATATAGTTCCTATCAATCATTTATGTTTAGTTTTCTGATCAAATACTTCAATTCCATATGTTCTTTAAATTTTGGTGTGTCTGTAATTTATGTATATTAGAAAATAGGATACCAAGTTCTAAACTAAGTGTTTTTGAGCAAATATTTCCTCCTATTTTTATTTCACCACTTATTCTATGATAATGTACACATAAGACTAATGATAACTCATTTTTTAAAAGAGTAATTTTATAGGTGTCTCTCATATACAACACTTTAGGTTATCACATTATTTTGTGACCAGAGAAACTTACCACTGTTAGACACTAGGACATTGATGTTCAGAGACATTACGTTATGTGCAGTAAGTCACACAACCAAACCAGAATCTGGGTCTTTCCTATCCACTGAACCATGTAGCTTCAACTTTGAGGACATAATTATCTTTGCCTTTGTGTAAAATATAATGGTAAACACAAAATATAAATTAACCAGAAGTCATTATATAATTTTATCACTAACTCAGAGAAAATGAGCAATTGCATCTTTAATATTAAGTCCATATTGTTTTCCCGAAATTTCGATATTAAATGATCCTGGAAATAGTTAAGAAATAAATTAGAATTGCTATGAATAACACTGTGAGTGGCTTCCTTTTTTTTATTTTTTGTGCCTATATAAGCTCTGTTTTTGTATAACTTCCATATTCAAAATTATTTGAATGGAAAATTTTGTTTACATTAAGCTACAATTCCTCAATAATTTTGAAACTATCCCACAGATAACCTTATAGAAAATCAGTGCACTTATTTCTATTTGTCTGTACTTTCAACAATCATCCTCATTTATGCCATTTAAAATTATTTATGTCCTACTGTTTTATGCCGGTATTTTAGTGGAAAACCACACATAGTAAAATACTGAAATTTTGGAATTTTCTTAAGCCTATATTTGATATTATAAATTCTGTATTAGGGTTTTAACTCATGGATCTTGCTCAACATAAAAGCAAAGAAGAAAATCCAACTTAGTTTCACTCAATAAATAGTTCTGAGGGCCTATTATTTAATATATACTACACTGCTAGGTCAAATTTAAAAACAAAAAAACTCAGCACCAAAAGGAGATCACATTCTGTTGAATGATCAAGTGGTAAGTCAAGAGAGTGGTGACTTGTGGAAGTAAATTGTAAATAAAATAAAAAATAAGACATTGAGCAAATGTCCAAATACTTGAAAAAATCACTCATAAATTTATATTAATTCAGCCGGGCGGTGGTGGCGCACGCCTTTAATCCCAGCACTCGGTAGGCAGAGCCAGGCGGATCTCTGTGAGTTCGAGGCCAGCCTGGACTACCAAGTGAGTCCCAGGAAAGGCACAAAGCTACACAGAGAAACCCTGTCTCGAAAAACCAAAAAAAAAAAAAAAAAAAAAATTTATATTAATTCATGCACCTAGGAAGAAGTGGCATCAGATATTAAAATGTACTATAAATCAAATGATAATTAAAGCAATTTAATGAAATTTGTTGAAAGAATTAAAACAGTGTTTGGCTGTCTATAGAAGTTGTATATTATGTCATGAAAATTATAAATTTATCTTCACACTTCACACTTCAAGAAATTAGCAAAATAACTAGATAAAAATCATTAAATAGGATAAGAATAAAAATAATATAAAATTGAGAGTTAAATGAAAATGCATTAAACAAGTGGTGATTACTTCAGTTACACAGTTTTAGATGATAAAGAAAAAAAGGACATCCCCTTTATAATAAATGAAAAGTGATAGGACATTAAGATGATCATAGGGATACTTGAACAATGTAACAATAAGTTTGATGGAATGAAGAAATTCTTTGAAACCCATATTACTAAGACAAGAGAAACGGATAAAATACACAACAAACATAAATATTCTTAAATCTGTTAAATGAATTAAAATTCAAACCCTTTTCATGAAGAGAACTCCAGATCCAGATGGTCTCTCTGGTCAAATTCACCAAATATTTAAGGAAGAGATAACATTATAAAATCTCTTTAAGAGGAAAGACAAAAGAAGCTCCCAGTTTTCTGGGCAAGATCATGTTGGAACAAGAAGAAAATATTTCCCATTTTGTTTAAAGAGAGAACCATAGCATAATTTTGTTATTGAAGCTTCCTAGAAAAAGATATTAGCCAATGTAATCCAGCTATGACTGCACAGATAGAACATGTCCAGGGTGGATTGCTCCTGGGAGAGACAGATTTTTTTTTAAACACTTAAAAGACAATTAATGTAATTGAACTGTATTAAAAGAAGAAATCACATAGTCATCATAACAGATGCAAATAAAAGTATTTGGCTAAATTTAATAGTCATTTTTGATGAAATAAACAAAAACAAACTTTTCACTTAATGAGGGAATTATCTAAATTTGATGAAAAAAAAAGCATATAAAGTAATCTTGGGAAATACCCTGTAATATTGAAAAGAAAGAACAATTTTCTCTATGATCTGGACAAAGAGAAGCATTTCCACTTTAACTGTTTTGGCTTAATTTGAACTGCAGTTCATTTAGAGAGCAAACAAAAAAGTATTAATGCTGAATGATCTCTTCAGTAAATTCAATAAAACCAAATAAAAGATAGGCAGATTGGAAAAGAAGAAATGCCATATGCACTCATACAAAAGTATGTAGAAAATTCTAAAACCTGAAAGAAGAAAAATGAAATTCATCAAAAAACATAGCTTTAAAGCAATAAAACATTCAAATTTGTGAAAGTATTGTCATTTACAACAGACTAAAAAAAATCAGGAAATACATAGAAAAAATGCACACAATATATTTCTAGACAAGTACAATAAAAATAATGTGGTAGTCCTGAAAAATAAATAAAGCATGTCTTGGCCATAACTGTGTTGGTAGCCTTAATCACTTAGAACTTCTGGTACCTCACATAGATCTATAAATTCAATGTAATCTCAGCAAATATTTGTAAATATCTGCAGGTGGCATCTAAACATTATAAGGAAACACAAAAGAAAACATATGACCACATAAATTTCACAAAAAGAAAAATTCCATTATTTAAATACAGTAAGCCAAAAACAAACAAACAAACAAAACCCTATTTCTAATATGGGAGGAAGAAAATAAAAAATAACCTAACTAACAGGAAACATGATAAACAAAAACATAGAGGTTAGCAAATCCTCATCAACAAACTGAAACACAACTGACCTCAACTCATTTAAAAAGGTGAGACTAGCTGCCTGGACTAAAGAATAAAATCGAAGATTTGCCAAGATCACTCAGTAGTTACGAGTAGGTATTGCTCTTCCAGAAGATCTGAGTTTAGTTCCAAGCACAGCAGTTTACAGCTACCTGTATCTCTAATTCCAGGGGATCCAATGCACTCTTCTCACCTCTGTGGTCAAACACACACACACACACACACACACACACACACACACACACACACACACACACACACACAGAGTTACAAAACAAACACACATACACAGACTTCTTTTTTAAAAATTCTTTAAAAAAATAACTCTAACAACTATCCAGTCTGTCTAAGAAGCACACGTCTGGCAAAGTCGCACAGAAATTGAGACTGAGCCTCAAAGAATCAGAGTGTAACTATCAAATCGAAACAAGGCTGGTGTAGCTATTCTGATATCTAATAGACATCAGACCATAATTAATAAAGAAGACCACTATAATATACTAGTCGAGTGATATAGTCAATATGATATAGCAAATGTAAATGTATCAAGGTGTTTCGATGAATACTTGGGTACCTAATTTCATAAATTAAATAGTAATGTACATTAAAGGTCAGACATGTGCAACACCCCAGATATCAATACCCTGTTTTTATCCTCAGAAAAATCATTCGAAGTAAACATCAACAAAGAAAATTCACAGTTAAACCACAGCTTAATAGACATCTACAGAAAATTTTATCTAATGCTATAACGATCATAAAACATATTATAGGCCCTAAAGCAAGTCTAAATAAAATTAGAGAATTGAAATAATTCATTGTGTCTTGTAAGACAATAATTGAACAAAACTACAAACAACAGCAAAAGAAACCATAGAAATAGCATAAATACTTAAAGACAAAACAATAAATACACTTGAGAAGAAGCAGTGGATCATTATACAAACCAAGGAAAAAATTTTAAAATTTCTGGAATGAAATGAAAATTAAAGCACAACTTATCAGAACTCAGGGATACAACGAAGACAATTGTTACTGGGAAATGTAAAGCTATAAGTGGCTTCATTAAAAAAAATCAAAGAGATTGCTAATAATAATAATAATAACAATAATATAAAAAAGCCAGCAGTATCCTTCAAACATTTTGGGGAAAACAGAAACCTGCCAAACCCCAAAGAAGTAGGCAGCAAGAACTAATGAAGGACAAGGCAGAAGCTAGTGAACCAGAGGCTAAAAGAGTACCATCATATCAAGCCAAAAAAAAAACAGGGTTCTTTGAAAAGATACGCAAGACTGAGAAACTCCTAGTAAAACTAATCAGAGAGAGAGAGAGAGAGAGAGAGAGAGAGAGAGAGAGAGAGAGAGAGAGAGAGAGAAAACTAGAATTAATAAAAATTGAGATGCAGAAAAGGTTGTTATAGAAGATTCCAGTGAAACCCACAGAATCATTAGAGAATACTTCAAAAACTTACATTAAAAGAAAACGACTAGAAAAATCTAAGGGAAAGAATTTCCTAGACATACATAATTTACCAAAATTAAATAAAAAAGATATAAACAACTTAAAAGGACTCATAGCTAAGAATAAAAATGAAGCAATCATTTTTTAAAAGTTTCTCCACAAAGCAAAAATAAGTAAATAAACAAATAAAAATAAAGGACTAGTCAAATTCACTATTCAATCCCCCTGCCCCCAAGACAGGGTTTCTCTGTGTAGTGTTAGAACTCCCTCTGTGGACAGATTATCCCTGAACTCAGAGATCCACTTACCTCTGCTTCCTGAAT